GTAGTGAGGTGGGTCATTCTTATACACTCATCAAAATGGTCCCCACTTGAAAATGATCACCTTTTAATTATCCAACCTATGTGGATGTGGTCCCCCTATTAAAATGAGTGAATGGGTATAAGCCACCTCACTAGTCACTGTTAAGCACAAAGTTTGTGCTCACTCATCTCTCTCTATCTATATATATATATATATATATGGGTATCATTGACATATAAGGGAATTTCCTTAGATGTCATGACGTGGCTTAATCTCAGCTATCTATCTAAGTGAGTTAAGTAATAAATAGAAAATGATATTTTTGTAATTATAAAAAACCTTCTAAAATAGCTAACATTAATTGTTATTCAGACATTATAAATGAGACTTTTGTAAAATTTACCCTCCACTTTTACCAATAGAGCCGACAACCCCTCTCTAGGGCCTCGAGTCCCCTACGCCTTCCTCTTTCCAACGAGCATAAGATCTAAAATTCTCATTTCTCCCCCGAGCAGCTCGGATTTTGCACTCTCCTCTCTCGACAGCTTTGATCACTAACAAGCAACTTGGGTTCCGTGCCCACCATTAATAGCTACATCCCCATAGTTGTCACCAACCGTCGCAGGTCACTAATCTCGCCTATCTCTATTTCTCTATCTCGGAATGCCATCATTTCATCATCATCAGCAAGCTTTTAGTGTCTCTGCCAATGACTTTCCTCCTAGTGAGCGTTAGTTGTTCGACGAAATGCTCTCTTGATAAGGATGTCAGTGGTAGTGTCAAAATTATTAAGATACTTATTTAAAGATTTCTTTCTAGTTCTTTTCTTATTGTTGTAGCAGTTATTTCTTTTATCAAGTATGATTATTAGTGTTGAATTTGTACTCTCCAGCGATATATGGAATCAAATAATTCTTATGCTTATTGTGATTAGAATTTGTTCTTCAATATGGTACATGTGTTTTAGATGGTTTAATTGTGATTAGATCATTGTGAAGGAGACTTTTTGTTCTTTAATTGACTAACATATCACATATGTAGGCCACCTATTCTATCTCTATCATATGACATATAAGGTGTTTGATCTTATTGCATAGAGAACTTTGTCTTATTAAAATTTATCATTCTTAATCTAGATTCAAAGAGGTTCTAAATAAATCATCAATGGCTTTTAAGCAACAATGTTAGGTTGTTTTGACCTCTTTAGCCAGTTGTGTTTGGTAGACGACAACAAAATTCATTCTCATCCTTAGAACCCATGTACTAAGCACCAATTTTTGCATACATTTTCCTTCAACCTATCAAAGCTTCCTAATTACAACCAAGACAAGAGAAGCAAATGCGCAACTCTCTATACCTACAAGTTAGAAAGTGATGTACTGATAATTTGCTATTGGATGGAAGAATAATATAAGAGAAATAGCAAGGAAACACATTTATCTTCTATTCCGATAACACAAATACAGTCATTTATTCTGACATTATAGTTCTCATTAAAAGAATGCTTAACTTGCCAAATGTGAAACCTCGATCTACAACGAACGACACTAAAAAAATTCCAAGGTTTTTCCATCTGATGTCTATATAGTTCAATTGAATAAATGAACTTAAAGAGGCTGTCGTTGATGGAGAGGATAGGGGAGCCACCACTTTGGGGTTGGAAGGGGAGAGAGGATGGTGTGGAGATGCTTTGCATAGGGAAGGGGATGCGAGATCCGAGTTGCTCGGTAAAGAAAGAGGAAGGCGCAAGGGGAGGTGCTCATTGGAGTGAATTGGGCAAGGTGGAAGGGAGGGCGATAAGAGGCATGTGCCTTTGTGAATGGAAGAGAGTACTCAGAACTCTGTTTTTATAGTCCTAATGACAATTAATGTCAGCAAGTTTTTAAAATAGAGGTTTTTCTATAAAAATGTTACTTTTCTTTATTCCTTTAATTCAACTCAGATCAGCAGCTCATATTAAGCCACATCATGACATATAAGGAAACTTCCTTATATATCAATGATACCCAATAATCTCATAAATATGTGTGTGTGTGTGTATGAATGTGTGTATAGAGAGGTTAGTGACTATCATACGTTATATGAGGGAAGTCATTCATATGCAGTGATGTGGCTCAATCTCAACCAAGTGTTGCTATGAATTCTCTCTCCTTATTTATTCACTTGGTGAAGATTGAGCTACACCACTACCATATGAAGGAATCCCCTCATATGACAAGGACATACATTTTTCTCATATGACACATAATTCATTTGTGATAATAATAATATAAATTCTTACCAAGATCACCAAAAGAAGTATACATTTCTTTGATTCTCGACTTGTTAATGCCACATGCCTCTTCCAATGCAGCTATGACCAAACCGCTGCCAACATTCAATTCCTATTTTACGTTGCACAGTAAAAAAAAACTATAAATTAAAATGCTGTAAATAAAAATTAACCACTAGACTGAGTTTAAACCATTGCAAATAAATTGTGTTAATTTAAGGATTTTATACATGTATTTTAACGCAACAGAGCTATATTAAAACAAGCTATACTAAAAGCTCGTTTGCACAATTTTTGACTGATCAAAAAGAAAAGAGGGACAAGTATCGTTCATATGAATGGTAACAAGCAATAGATAGCATGTCATACTAGACTTCTAGACTCTTTTTGTTGCAATTATTTCCTTTTATGGGTTCTTTTGTTTGAAAGTTTCTAATAGCTTTGTGGTATTTCTTGGGTTTCACATCTTTCTTAGATTACAAGAGCAATGAGATAGCTTCCAATAGAAACTTTTTGTAGAAAGGAGAAACCAGAGAAATGTGAACACAGGAGAATTGGTCCTCAAATAATCAATGAACACATATCAAATCTCACTAATCAACATTCATTAATCAAACATGAATTTTTATCTATAAATAAGCATATTGTACGTGAAAGAGTCCTAACTCAAAAAAATGTATATTTCTAATCAAACTGAAGCTTCCGTAAAGATAAAATAGTTATCAAATTGAAAATTCAAGTCTTATTCAAACTCTTAACTCTTAATACCGGTGTTAGACGCAAGGCGTAATGCGGGGCGCAAAGTCCCCTTACGCGCATCTTGCGTAAAGCGATGTGCGAACCTCAGTAAAGTGAGGCGCATACTACAAACAAATCTATTTGATAGATGTATCAAAATAAATAAGCAACATGTTTATGATTTTTGGTAAGAAAAATACGTAAATATAATAATCACCTATAAAATCTCAAAATATGGTCTTATTTCATAATCTTAGCACTAGTTAAAAGAGTGCTAACGTCAAATTTAACTCCACCCTTCCATATTTTCAGTAATTAGTCGCGTTGAAAAATATATTTGGTATGAAATCATACATTCATAATTACTAACATTATTAACTTATGTCATGATAGCTAGAATAATAGTTTGTGATTTCTTAATCAGTGTTCTAATCTTCTAAATATAGAAGTAGTAACAACAGCAGCCAGAAAAAAGGGAAATTTGAGCAAAAAAGATGGAGTAGACAATAATATGGGGGAAAGAAGAAAAAGAATGAAGAAATAAAGGTAAAAGAGAGGGCGAGAAAAGGAATAACAAGATGTATCAAAAAGCAAAAATAATTGGAGAATAGTGAGTATTAGTGAGGCACATTGAGGCACATCAAAGCGCAAGGCGCAATGAGGTGCAATAAGGCGTGAGCCCCGCTTACGCAATGAGCCCACAGCTCATGCCAGGTGCATTTTCAGCACCTCGAAGCGCACGGTGCCCAAGGCGATCTCAATGCATCCGAGATAACACTGCTTAATATAAAGATAAACATGTATACAAACTCCCAATCCTACCCCATAGATTCGAACTAACAACTAAGGATAGTCCTAAATTCCTTAAAGTGTTCAACTCTGGATGCTAAGGTGACTCTTCAAATTTCAGATGGATCTTCTATTGGAAGTGGACGTGCATCAAAGAGTTGTAGGGCTTTGCAAGTTTTGGGTCTTTGTGTGATCTGTAGGCTATAACAATGATGTATTGAATCATCTTCACATACTAAATACAATTTCCTTTCTTTATCAGCAAAGAACTACACTACTAATTCAAAATTTCATATAGTCGATCTGAGATTTCCAACAAATACAAAACAATATTCATTCTTTTTCAACACGGAGCTGATATTTCCTCATTACATCATTTTATATCAATACTTATGGGCTCGGTAGGAGGTTGAACTGATTTATATGTACTCTTTCTACTCTTCAGACACAAGGTCCTGATATGGACTAAGAAAGATGATTTCTGCACACAAACCCCCACAACTTTACCCTCTTCATCTTCATCGACTCCTCTTTTCTTTCCTTTCTTGTTCATGGTGCTGTACAGGACTTAATCTATGATATGGGATGGGAATGCAAAATACCTGAAAATCCTAACAGAACTGAACTGCACGAAAATAGATATAGTTGTTCTAGTAAACAGTATGCATTCTTCTTGCTCTGCATCAAAGTGATATTTTTTGTGACATGCATAAAGTGGACCAATCATATATTAAGAAAGCATGCAAATACGTTCTTCAAGAAGAGCAAGTCGATCACTGCGCCAGAACTCCATCTTGTTGTAATGTTTCAGAGTGACAAAATTATAATTTTATAAATTTGTTCTCCATGTTGTGAATATCTGACTTCATACTAAGAGTTCATGAAGAAAAGGAATGTTTCATAGGGATTATGGGTAAGTAATCAATGTTGGAAAATAGCAACACATATATTCATTTCAATGCATGCATCTTATATAACTCGATCATTTTTAAGATCTGCACAAATTGAAGAAACACTAAGCAATGCATGCCCTCGTTTAAAGCCTAGCCTTTGGGTCTTGAGCAAGTTGCCTTATGTTTATTTCTACACAATGAAATGAGATTTTGAGCATCTCTTATATTCTGTATTACGCACTATTATGAGTAAGACTTTTAAAATATTGTTCCTCTCTAGTTCTTAAGAGTAGACTTATGTACATATTTGCTTCGTGGCTAGATTGCCTATATGTGACCTAGAAAAAAAGAATTTTGGTTGGCCATAATGTGGCTTTCTTTCCTTTTCACATGCATTTCATATGACAAAATTCTAATCTTAGTTATATGCTACAAAAACTGATATGCTCAACATATAAGCAGTTGTTTAGACAAAATATTTGCTACATCAATCATAGAAAGACCTATATTAAGGGAAAATATCATCTGTTCAAGTAGTTTGGAATTTTTTTATTTCAGTAAGAAAAAGTACTAACCACATTTTCATGATCAGGAGCAATTTTGTTTGTGCAAAGATAAACAGCAGGCAACACGTCATTAGGTGACAAGGCAAGCAAACTGCACAAAAGGGAAGGCATTGCAAGTAAAAACTATATACCTATGTATGACAAAAAAGACATAAGGAAAAGGAAAGAAATAAGAGAAACAAAAACAAGCATTGAATAAAAGCAGAAGTTGCTGCAAACCTTCTGAACATGTTGCAAAGCATGGCAGTGGTTTTTATCTTGCCTTTTTCTCTCTCTACCAAATCAAACGTCCGTGCAAGGTGCAAATAGGGAGCAGGTTTTCCAGCCTCCCAACACGCTGCAAGAAATTTCATTTTCATGTATATAGAATACCAGTCTGCCTCAACAAACATCAACAATATACAATACAAACCATGTTCAACGGGAGAGTACTTATCAATTGGTAATGATATATTAATCACACTTGAGTCATCTCCTGAAGTTACACGTACAAATAAACTCGGTATGTTGTCTGTTCCATGAGGAGAACAACTTGCTTCTTCAGTACAATTATTACTAACAGCAGCAGTCATATGATCTTTGTGATTGCAAGGCATTAATATCTCCTCATCTCCGAACACACTGCTACAAATACTATAGTATACATCAACTGCTTCACCAACATTTCCCTTCACCTTCTCCATTAAAGAGGCCGCAGTGCTCCTTTCAATACCATTATCTATTATCTGAAGAAACTGATTCAACTCTTTTTTGTGCTTTTCAACAGTGTCAACTATCAAAGAAGTCCCACCAATCGACTCCTGAGCTGCAATAACTGTGGAATTGGATATAACTTTTCCAAAGAACTTTGTGATTGTAGGTTGCTTTGATCCACTCAACTCTAAAGCTGAAGAAGTTTTTCCTTTTTTCTTCGGTTTGTTTCCAATGCGTGAACCCCTTTTCTTAGGCAAAACAGATTTTGGCGCTGCAAGATTTTTGCTTATTGGTTTCTTACCTAACTTTACAAACTTACTACCATTCTCCTGGCTCCCTGGGAAACATTTTGTTTCAGGAAAAGAAGTAAAATCATTGTGTGAGATTGCCTGAGAGCCAGGAGCAGTAGGTGGAAGGGAGCTTGTCTGAGAGACAGGATCAGTAGCTGCAAGGATGCAAACATTTGCTTTCTCATAGAACTCAATCTCATGTTCGAAGAACTCTGAAACAGCTTCCACAACTTCTCCGTTGGAGCTTCTTAACAGACTAATAATCTGATCTTGAGTAACCCATGATGGCAAGCTGTCACGGATCTCCTGAATTTCTTCCTCCATGTCCTCAGAGTTGAAGTCTTCAGAAAGGGCTTCTTTCTGGCTTAAACTATCCTCCTCCGCCACATCCTCTGACCGACATACATTAACGGGGTTATCATATCCAGCCATCACATCAGCATTTACTGCCTTCTTATTGAAAGCCATCAAAAATTCTTGCTTATTTGCAGTTTCATCAACTAACCCCTGAAAATGTTTCTGCAAAGCCCTCGCACTCTTGCCATCAATTTTGTCAGCATCATCTCCAACAGTTGGAATCACACGCTTTGGCCTCAAGAACCTCACAAACTCTCTGAGTTCATCATAGCTCGAATGTTCACTATAAGGAACAAGATGGATCTCAAGTTCATCCTTAACCCTCACTGCAAAGCCATCTTTCTTTGTTTCGTACAGCCATCCAGTTGAAACAAAACCAACCGCCTTCGAATATCCTCTCTCCAACATTATCTCCTTCATTTTAACAAAATTAGGGCGGAAATACGGCCAAGTTTCACCCAACAAATTCCAACCGATCACATGAATACTACTAGCCGACGCATCCTCGGTAAAAACATTACTATCCCCAAGTCCTAAAACAGACAATATTGACATCTTTCTTCTATCCACATGCAGTAGACATTTCAACTGCCGTGAAATCTCTAGCAATATTCTCTCCTTCCCGATCACGTAAGTAGCAATAAGAATCAGCACAGGCTCCTTCAACGCCTCACTTTCCTCCCTAATTCTCTTGATCAGCCTCACAATATAATCTATCGACTCCTCTTGCGACGGGAAAACAAACTTGGGGTTACAATAAGTAGCGTCCAAGAAAACAGCATCAGAACCAACAAACTGGCTCAAAATCGGATCTTTCTTCATCGAATCACAAAATCGGAAGTCCCCAGTATGAACATACCTCTCCAATTTCCGTCCATCTTCACCACGAACACTGAACAAGAACTGTACAGCACCGGGGCAGT